TAGCTCTGTGTGAGTGTTCATCAGCCGGCAGGCCACTGTTGGCTGAACATCATTGTAGAGCAATAAAAGGGAGCTCAGTCAAGAGGGGTCTTGAGTGAAATGTTCAGATCAGAAAAGATAAAATAAAATTAATAATCGGTTGTCTCACGTTCAGCTTTTCCAGAATCAACACATATGAGTGAGGGGCTACTTATGGTATGACAAAAAGGTTTGAGGGTACACAACACAAAAAGGTTGAGACCCACTGTGTCTGGCTACAGGGTTACTTTGGAGTGCAAAGTCTGCAAAATATTACATTATAAAATATTGCTTTGAATTTCCGAATGAACCAGTGCACGCTGGGATCATATTTCCAAACGCACACTATGTCTTAGGTGATACCTGGCCTGGAACCTTCTGACACACATATGTTCACACTTTTCAAGCAGTCTATGGGAGGCTTTAATCGCTAATGTCTAAAATGGTCAAATGTGGCCTTCCTCAGAAACTCTACCGGAGAGAACTGCAGCCCCCATTCAAGCCGGCGGCAGGTAAACCAGACGACACGTTCTGTTTCGACCCAGAGTTCACTGCAAAGACACCCAAAGGTACGCGTGCACTCATTGCAAGCGTGTTAGCGCGAAAACCATCCTGCTGCGTGTTCATCCCTGTCTCTACATAATTTATTGGATGTTTGTATATTCGTAGTCTTGTATTATGCAGCATGTTTGTTTGTTTGTTCAGACTCCCCAGGTATCCCTCCCAGTGCAAACGCCCACCAGCTCTTCAAAGGCTTCAGTTTTGTTGCTCCAACACCGATGGATGAAAACAAAAGTTCCCCACTCCTCACTATACTCCCGATAGTTCAGGTAAACTCAGCGGTGCTCATTCTCTCCCTTGTGTGCATGCTCAACCCCACTTCTACATTTGCGTAAAAGCGTCCTAAGGTGTGAGAACACCACGAAGGTAACAGACTTTGATGGAACATCATTCGTTCATGTCATTCTCTGCTATTTATAGGACAGCAATTAAGTTCAAACACTATCACTGGGGCATGGGTTGTCGGTTGGATCGTCACATCCCCGTAAATCTGTTCAGATGAAGGCATACAGTGCATCAATGTGAGCCAATGTGAGCCTTAACTTGATCCTCACCCATGTAGTATTGTGGTCGTGAAAGTTAAACACAAGAAATTTGGGCATATGTCAAAAAGTCAAAATATATATTTTTTTAACTGAAAAATTGCAAAGCAGAAACTAAAATGCTCTGTGGAATGCAGTGGAGTGCATTGTAATAATTAACAATTAGCAAATAAGATATTTACTAGGGAAAGGAGGACTAACCGAAATGTATCGATCAGAAATGCACAGGCACGATGCCTGTGCATCCGCTCCATGCAATTGTGAGATGAAAAGAGTTGGTTCCATTTGTAATTTGTTTGTTCTACGTCGTTTTTTTTTTGTTTTTTTTTAAATAAACGTTTTCCACCCAGTATTTTTTTACTCCTACATTACCGTTAAGTAAGGTACGGCTAAACACGGTCACTAGTTAAATCAGCATAGCTGATACAGTAATCTTTTACACAGACACAGATGATGTCATTTCACAAAGCTCACTCGGTTTTCGAAGCAAGAGAGGCTGGTCACGCGAGACGAATTGGGGAGTGTGGGCATGGGGCACGCCACAACAAACTTGTATGCGTTGAGGATGGCAGAGAAAGAAGGAATATTCCCATCAGCAAATTTCAAATCGGAAATATGCCAACACAAAGGATTTTACAGGCGCGATGGACAACTCGACAAAGTATGTATTTTGTTGAGCATTTTGATCTTTTCTGATTTTAATTTCCCGCCCTAGCCAAGTTACTTCACAGTGATGAATGTTGTAATTATGACAATGAGGGTGCATTTGCTTACAGCAATACCAACATCAGTTGTGAAAGGTTGACTCTTTACGGGTGTTGCACTCCACCTCATTCCTGTTAATTGTGAGCCAGGTGTTGACAAAAGTATAGTTATATTGAAAATTATTATTATTATTATTTGGGGTTTTTTTGTTTGTTTTTTTGTTTTTTGTGAAGTTATTGTTATATTGAAAATTATTATTATTATTATTATTTGGGGTTTTTTTTGTTTGTTTTTTTGTTTTTTGTGAAGTTATTTTCTTTAGAATAAAAATACTGCTGGGGCAATGATAAGTCCAACTTTTGCCAGAATGATAACCGGTGGGCTGCATCTTGTCGGCCTTTGGGATCTCTCTTGACTCACTCGGCGTTGGGTGGTCACGGCAATAGGCTGCTTTCTTCGACTACCTAAAGCAGTGTTTAATAAAATCATTCAATTTGTTTATGTGGCGCATGGACACATTGGCAAACAGATAATTAAAGATTAATTTGATTGCTTAATGTGGCACTTTATGGGTCGTCGGGTTCTCCAGACACAGGGATTTCTATATTATTCATTAAAAAGTGTATTTGCCATATTATGTCCCCCCCTAAACATGTTCCAATAAAAATATATATATACCACCCACGGAGATATAATCACTTTTTTCTCTCCCTTCAGATGCATGCGGGGTCCAAGTTCTTGGATCTCTACGAGCTGCAGGAGGACATAGGAGTGGGGTCCTACTCCATTTGTAAACGCTGTGTACACAGAGTCTCTGCCATGGACTATGCTGTGAAGGTGACCCATAATATAAAATGTTATAAGCTGCATATGTATCTTTTTCTGTTTTGCACTTCTAAATAGCTGGGAGATTTACTGCCACATGGCAAAACACATTTTCATGCGATGTTTTCATTCAAACCACAGTTTGATTTGGCATCTGTCTTGTTTCATAGCGGTGCAAAATTGCACGACGTTGGTGGCCTGCGACAGATTGGCAACTAAAGTCGTGTTAATCCTACTGCAGGCTCAATCTGTGCAGTTCTTTTCTGCAGTAAGATCATGTCAAGATCATATGCTCACATAATTGTTGGTTTGCTTGATTAAATTCTTCAGTGGTCACTAAAATAATGTTAATCTGACAGGAGTAATAGTAAATAAAAACATACAAAATATTCAGGAAGAAAAATCTGGTAAGACTTTTGAACCGTAGTCTAGCAGAAATTTTTTTTTTCAATTCTTTTTTTTTAATTGTGAATTCACAGGTCCATACAGTCAATGTAAGAACAAACCATACAAGTCCTTTATACATCTGATCTTACATAAGATTAGCTCGATTTAAAATAACCAGGACTGAGTAAGCAATACATAACATGTAAGGACCAATAAGGAGTATAACTATATTGCCCTTTTTTTTTTAAATATAGTAAAATGAAAACGGACAATAAAACAACGAACAAACAAAAAAACAACACAATTTGTTTTTTTAAACTCCCCTTTAACACACTTAGCTTAATATTTTGTTTCACAAAATAAGGATTTCTCTCACTGTCAGAGAATTTTGCTCCCTGAGATTTTGGTCGAGTTGCTTTATTTCATTTTGTAAATATCGCTAGTGTGACTTGTGAAAAAGACCCAGCTTTCTTCTCAAATGTTTGTGGCTTGCCAATGTGCATTATGAAAAAAAAAAAAATCCAGCCTCGCCAGTTTCAAATGAAGCTTTATCTCTGACAATTCTTTAACGGAATTGGAACCAACAATTTTTGTCCATGTGTGCCGGTGAAACATCGGACTTGCAACGGTATGGTCAGGATTTAGGATTTTCATGATATTGGAGAGGAGAAGACTGATGACTGGCCTTGATCTGATGACCTGAGTTTCACAGATTTACAATGGACTCGCTGAAATTCCATAATTGTTTGTAAGGCATACGTACATCAGGTATCAAATAATTTATGGTGGTTTCTTCATCTGGTTTTTTAGTCTTCGACGATGATGTTACCTAGCAACCAGTGACGCACTTGCATATTGCATAACAATTGCATCTAAAGTGCGCCTTCCTTGTGCTCTCTCGTCTTCAAATAATGTTGTCCATCTGGATTTATTTCATGTCAATTGCTTGAACATTCTTATGTGTTTTTCTCTCGAATGTGTGCTATTGAAGTTCAGTTTTGCTTAGTGCTGTGTTCCTTTGTTGTCTCTGGAAATCTGCTGGGTGAGCCCAGTTTTCCATGGGAGAGCAGCACAACCTCTTTGCATCAGCACAGCACAGGAACGCTGAATGATGGGGAAAACCAGTGATAGGATATCAACTACTTGATTGTTTTTCCGATGTCACAGATTATCGACAAAAGTAAGAGGGACCCTTCTGAGGAGATTGAAATCCTGATGAGATACGGCCAACATCCTAACATCATTACTCTCAAGGATGTCAGTACAGTAATTTGATTTAATTTTTGTCATTTCATCATACTCAAGTTTGAAATAACCTCGTCAGACATGCTGATGGACAGTTGGGTGTGAATATGTCAGGTTTATGATGAGGGCAGGTATGTTTACCTGGTGACGGAGCTGATGAAGGGGGGAGAACTGCTAGACAAGATCCTCAGGCAGAAGTTTTTCTCCGAGCGAGAGGCCAGTGCTGTGCTTTACACCATCACGAAGACGGTTGACTACCTCCACTGTCAAGGGGTGAGGAAACGTACGCCCCCGCATACAGGCACACAACTTAAGCGCGTGAGAAGTCCAGCAATCATCCATTCTTTTGTTGTCTTTTGTCAGGTCGTACACCGAGACCTGAAGCCCAGTAACATTCTGTACATGGACGACTCTGGGAATCCAGACTCGATCAGGATCTGCGACTTTGGTTTTGCAAAGCAGCTTCGAGGGGGTAACGGCCTGCTCCTCACCCCTTGCTACACCGCCAACTTTGTGGCACCTGAGGTGAGCCTGAAAGAGGAGAAATACCACTTGGAGCTGCTGGGAATGTAGTCCAATGGGTCGCAGTATCCGATGAAGTCACTAATTTACATCTGCAGTACTTCAATCTTTGAGGGCCTTTGATTTATGTTTGTATGCAGGTACTTATGCGGCAAGGTTATGATGCAGCCTGTGATATATGGAGCCTTGGAGTTCTATTATATACAATGTTGGCTGGGTAAGACAATAACGGGTAGTGTTTTCCTCACCTCTTTCAGAAATGCTTCCTTTTGGAGAGCCTCGTACTGAACTCACAATGTGTTAGTTATGCTTCCAAATAAAAATGTTCTTAACGCATTATTAATCCTTTTGTCAGGTACACACCATTCGCAAATGGGCCAAATGACACACCAGAGGAGATTCTGCTTCGAATAGGCTCTGGAAAGTTTTCTTTGACAGGCGGTAACTGGGATACTGTGTCAGACACCTCAAAGGTAAAATGGTCGAAAAGCTAACTGACCCTTACATCGGTTAATATGCTACATGCTGTAAATTAAGTGTGAAGTTAAAATATGGTGTCTATTTCTTGTAGTTTTTGTGTCAGCTACGGCTAAAAGTTGCTCCTGAAAGAAATGCAAGATGTTTGTTGTGTTTGTTAGTATGATTTCTAAAAGCCAGTTGTGTAGGAGGACATCTCCCTTTCCTTATCTACGTCGGCGGCTTATGTGTTGCAGGACCTCCTGTCCCACATGCTCCATGTGGATCCTCACCAGCGATACACGGCAGAGCAGGTTCTAAAGCATTCCTGGATTTCCTGCAGAGATGCACTGCCACACTTCCAACTCACACGCCATGATGCACCACACCTCGTCAAGGTGAGGCAGACATCCCTCCCAACTGAATCATTATTGTTTTATTTGTTTGCATGTAGCAGTCAAGCATTGGAAAGCGAAATCGTCTGATTTCCAAACAGTACACTTACCTGTAGCACAGAAGTAGTTTACTATAGCTCTGGATGGAACCTAGAGCAAATGCTGCCTAGGGCTGGAGCAAAGCAACAGAACATCCTAGTAATATGTCTGAGATTGCTATGGCAAAGAAGTCAGATCCGAGATAAATAGAGTCGGTGCAGTATTATAGTGAGCGCAGCACCATTAGAGTTGCTGTTTGCCAAAATTGCCATTTTTATCTCAAAAAATCATTGGGCTCATTCAATACAGCCCACCGCTCTGCCAGCTCCGAATTATTAACAGATGTGAAATTGACGGGGCAAGTGCCATTACCATCCGTGGAGTGGACAGTTTATTGGTGCCATAGTGACTTAAATGGTGAAAATATAAGCCTTGATCTGCAACTTTTTACAGATCCTGACTAAATGAAGCACGCCCCTCCATATGTTTGTGGATTTTTTTTTTTATAGTCCATTTAGCTGCATTGAGACATTAGATGCGTGTATTAAAACATTTCGAAAAGATTAAGTTAATCTCTAAAGGTTATAGTGTATTTAGGTTCATCATGAAATTTCACCTGTAAGGCCAATATCCCTAACTTTTTGTGACTAGCATATATTGTTGGACTTGAAGCTAATATGTCGCCTTTCTTCTTTATAGGGAGCCATGGCTGCCACTTATTCAGCGCTGAGCCAGAAGACAAGCCAGCCTGTGCTAGAACCCGTGGCCGCATCCAGTTTAGCCCAGCGACGGAGTATGAAGAAACTCACCTCAACCGACATGTAGAACCCCCCCACCTACACACACACACACCCATCCATATACAGGGAGCCCGTGCTACCGTTTTGACCTCACTCATACAGACTGAAGTCCTGGCCAGTCAAAGCTACCGTCTCCCTTTTTAACGTATTTATTTGACAAAACCAACACACACACACACACACACACACACACACACGATTTCATGCACATGCCCACCTGATGCGGCTCCTATGCGAAGACATTGGCTCAAAAGCAAGACTAGAAACTAGTATCTGTTACTGCTGGGGAGACAGACTTGTATTTATTTCCACAGCTTTCATATGCACTTGCCCTCCTCGCCTTTCATTCTTCCTTCCCCGGGAAGAAACACACCAGCTGATGTTCTCCTTCACTGTGATTGGCTGAAACAATGCTGCTTGGGTAAACTGTGCCCCCCCCCCCCAACCCACCTCCCACTGCTCTTCATCTATGTTCTGTCATCCTCTCCGCTTCAGTTCATTCTCCTTCCTTGATTGCATTTGCTCTCTTCTTTTCTCCACAAATATGGAGTAAAACGATGGTGTGAGAGTGCTGACTAGATGATGTTGACTGAGGGTCAGCCACCAGTTGTTTTCTTGCTCAAAGCCTAAAACAAACCAAATGCTTCTTTTTGACATACTGCTAAATCTTAAGGATCAAAATTGTCTTCTCGCACTTTTGGCAGTATAAATGCATGTGTGGACAGATGCTGTATTTCATTAACCTTTAAGTCATGTTTATGATGCTAATGATGTATCTAAGGAGGTTAAAAATGGCTGCAGATGGACAAAATGTCTTGAAATGAATGTGAAACAGTGTGGTGACAAGAACAGAAGCTCAAAATTGCACATATACATATGATTTGCTAATTTATTTGGTACGCCTGGATTAAACAAATGCAGTGGCCTATGATAATGAGGCTTTTACTGCATCTGCTTCAGAGAGGTGGTGATTTTCTTTTTGATGCACATTTATCTGCATTTTTTTTCATGTATGGTGGACAAAATATCAGCATCAGATTTAACTAAACCTCTCTACCTTGGAAAAAAATGGATCCAATAATCCTCATAGGTAATATTTATGGACATTTGTTTGATCCGCGTGTACCTAGTACTTTTGCAAAAGATTGTATACATTGTATATTCATATATACAGTGAAGATTCTGAAGATGAAGAGCATGTGTGGGAGCTGTAGAGACTTCTCTGGGGGGAATGAAATGCACCCCATCAAACCAGAGAGGCTGAATCAAAAAAAAAAAAATCCATAGATATATCTCTTTAAAAGACATTGTGGAAATTGTATGATATTGTATTTATTTCATTTGATTTTTAAGATTCTATTTTTCTTTCAAGTTCTGTATATATTGACATTAAAGATCATTATTGACATGCATTCAGACTGACCTCACTTTTTTTGTATTTTTCCATGATCAGTGTGTTAGGAGTTGAGACAATTGTGAGCCATTTTGATGTCAGTGCTAATGCTTTTTTTTCATTATCAAAATGTTCACACTGGCCAACAAATGTTGACTTTTTTTTTAATTCGTGAAGTACACTTTTCTTTGTGTGTGGTTTTTTTTTGCGCTGATTAATCCACCCTTGCATCATGTTTTCGTTATAACAATATAACAATAAAAGAAGTATTCAATAAAGTAATACATAATTCCAATGAAGGTGGGACATCGTTAAATATTCATAAAAACAATAGAATGATTTGCAAATCTTGTTCAACCTAACCTACACAGTATTTGGTTGAATACACGACAAAGACAAGATGTATTTATTGTTCAAACTGATCAACGTTTATTTTTTAGCAAATAATCATTGACATTTTACTGTAGCAACACGTTCCAAAAAAGTGAGGACAGTTGGCGAAAAAAGACTGAGAAACCAAACACCTGTCTGGGACATTCCACAGGTGAACAGGCTACCTGGGAACAGATGTGTGCCACGAGTGGGTATAAAACTCATGTACGTTAGGTTCAAGCTTCCAAATTGTTCCTATGAATGTGAGCGTAAATGGTCGTTGGTGTGGTGGTTCGACCATCCAATGGGTATGCCCAACCGCTGCTTAAATCAGCTGGGATAGGCTCGAGCTCACGTGACCTCATGAGGATGTGCGGTATAAAATAAAAAATAAAAAAAACATGAAAATAAAGTACTGTACTGTACATGTAAACATCTGTCATTTGCTGAAGTTTCCTCTTCCGGCGCAGAGAGTTAAAGACGCCACTAGGTGGTAACACTGTTCAGTACATGACCGTTCGGCACTTTCTACAATGCCTCCCAAGAAGAGCCGTCAGGGACACAATTTACAGGAATAGCTCTCACACGCACTACTGAAATGTTCGTATACACCAAATTTCTGAATGTATTTCAATATGATGTGTGTGAAAGCGTTTCTACGGCGTGCCCCTGGTGCCAAGGTATGACAAAATTGAATTCAGTGACAAACTGTATGTAATCCTAAATTATGTCTCTGACAGCCCCTAATATTGCACTTTGTAAATTAACACTTTTTCCCGATCTTCCTTTGTCTGACCAGCCTCGTGTGTTTGTGTGACAACAGAAGATTGGGATCTGGGCTGGTAAGCAGATGGATACAGGCATGAGGA